TTTTGTTTTTTATTTATATCTGGTTCATTGACTGATTTTCTTTTTAAAGAAAAAAAATTAGTTGATTTTAGTTTTTTATTTATATCTGATTCGGCAGGATCTAGTTTCTTTTTGAAGAAAAATATTTAGTTATTGGAGGTTGGTTATTTTTTTTATCAATATTACTTTTTGTCGATTTTCTTTCTTTTTTGTAGATGTAATGATAAAATATTGTGTTATAAAATATTGTTATTTAAGCTCATTTTGTTTAAATATTTCTTGAATTATTTCTTTTGTTTTTTTTGATTCATATTTTAATAATGAAGTACAAATATCCTGTAAACTATTAAAATAATGTACAGTATCTATTTGAAGATTTTTTTCTTCCCTGTTAGTAATGAAATAATAGCAAGGAAGTATTTTATTTGCAATACTTGGCATGTTTGGTATATATACTATTAAATAGTAAAAACGCCCTGGCTCGATTTCTATTTGATGTTTATATTTCATTCTATTTATATACGATATCATCATCTTGTTTCTTTTATTGGTTTCATCACCTTTTTCTCTTCGCTCTTCTATATTAAAAAAATTCTTTAAACTTACTCGTCGATTTGTTGAAGGATTATATTTTGTGATAAGCTTGAATAGTTCTAATGATACATTATTCTCATCAATATATTTGGCAATAACTTTAAATATTTTGTCTTTTAAATTTGTTTCTTCAACTGAAATTTGATTATTTTTATAACCAAGTGATACCCAGATTAATTCTTCAGCAACTGTCTTATAAAATTTTAATACATTTCTTTTTACTACCTTGAGTCTTTTTATTAAAAGATTTGGTTTTTTAAATTCAACATTATCTTTATACACATAGCCACAATACTGTTTTTTTGTAAATATAATGCTGGCATCATTGTTTTTTCATATACCATCTTTAAATAAAGTTGACCTGTTAGCTCTTGTAAATATTTGTTTATCTCTTTTTTAAGTATCTTCGATTGTTTTATTGTTCTTCTTATCATCTCATACCAGTAAAGTTGTTTTATTTTTCTTTAAATATTTGTTGATATTTTTTTATTCTTTATATTATATTTAATATCTAGGTATTGAAAATATTTTTCTAGTAGTATATAAAAAATAAATCTGTATCTCTATAAATTATAATATAACCTTTTTGTTCTGCAAATTGTATTATTATTTTAAGCATTGCATATACAAATACTGTGACTGATAAAGAAACAGATTTAAGATAACAAGGTGACTTCCGATAGCCTGTTTCTCTATAAATTGAGTTTGTAATTGTTTTTAAAGCATCTTGTAAAGAATTATAATAAGAACGTTCTTGTTCATTTTTAGCATTATTCATAGCTTTTTTTGCTATAGCACATTGTGTTAATAACATTTTATACATTAATGGCATCAATTCTATTTTTGTTTCATCATTGTTATGTTTTTTAAATTTACTATAGATTATTCCATTATCTGTTATCATATTTAGATTTTCTTCTTGTGAATCAATATTAATATTAGTATTCAAAGAAATATTATTTGTGATTGTAATATTAGAATAATAAGCTATAAAATCAATATTAGCAACAGGATGATTATTTGAATTTTTATTTGGAACCAAATTCAGACCACTTCCATATTTATCTTCAATCACTTCTCCTTTTCTTCATGATGAAATCAACATATCATGTTTTGCTGCATTTCTTCCATAAAAATTTTTTACCAAACAACCAACACTATTTGTAAATACATTTGATATTGTGATACAAATTAGAGTTGCAAATTGTATATAATTGCCAATTATATTTTATTTAATCATAAGTTCATATAAACAAGCTGTATCAACTGAACAATAATATGCTAATTCCATAGCATATTCTTCTAATATTAGAGAGTTTTGTACTATCATAGCTTTTTTGCATTTTTCTAAAGAAATCTTTGTTAGATTTGATAATTGCTCTGCTAATGTTGATAATAATTGAATATCATTTTTAAATTTAATAGCATTTACATAAACAAATATATTATATAAATTTTTAGATAATTCAGATAAATATGACAAATCTACTTTTCCTAATAAACTACAATGTTTTAAAACAGCATCCAAAGTATTTTTTATCTCTGTAGAAAATTTCTTTTTTGCCTAAATTAAAAGATCTATAAAAACTGTACCAGGTATCTGATAATATTCATATATCATTGTTTCATTTGGATTTACTTTTATGTTTTGATTAGAACTATCAATTCCATAAATTTTTCTTTGCATCTTTTCATCAATATCTTTTTCGACTACTTTTATCTTAGTTTCTCTGATATTATTTACTATATTTTTTTGTTCTAATATTTGATAATTTTTTTTTCAATATTTAATATATGTATTTTTTTTAATATAAAACTCCAATCAAATCCTCTAGTATTAAATCTAATTTCAAAAAAAGGTAAATATTTCTTGATTAACTCAAAAAATTTTATAATTAGTTCTCTTGGGATTGGATATTGATAATTTGATTGTTGCTATATTTTTTATCATATAAAATTTGATTAACTGGAATTTCTGTTAAACAAAAATGTTTAATTGGTGTTGGATCTGATAAAAAACAGAAATCTATTTGAATTATATATACATAATCTTGTTGTTTTTTCGCATCAGAAAAATATCCTGGTCCTCTTGTACTACCACATTCTATATTCCAATATAGTAATATCAATGGAATTTGTATTGTATATTCTGTTTTTGTTATATCATCAAATGTTATTTCCATATTGTTTGTTATTGTTTGTTTATTGATTTGATACTATCCAACTAACTCAATTATTTTCACATGCTATTTTTCAGTAATAACAAGTGTTATCATCTGAATAAGTATCATATTGTTGCCAATACTCCTCAAATTCTTCTCGATTTTTTTCTACATCTAATGATTGATACTTTTCTTCTATAATTAATTTTAACGCTTTTTTTCTTTGGGTTAAATTTTCAAAATAAAGATGAATAAATTTATATTTTTTTGTCAAATCAAAATGGTTGTTTCTCAATAATTTCATAACTTGATGGGTCAAATTTGTTAATATAATCTTCTACACTTTTACTTTGTTGTGTTAATTTAATATCAAAAAATACTTCTTCGATCTTAATATTAAATATAAATCTTTTTCCTTCAGGATTGATTGTAAATAATTGGAGTAAATAATATTTATTATATAAAGCTAATAAATCAGTAGCATCATAAATATAAAAAATATTAGACATTTTGTGTAAATAAAATTCTAATCAGTCAAAAGACTAACTAGATATATTTAAAAAATAATTGATATATAACTAATAACAAAGCTATTATAATAAATAAATTATTAATTTG